TGTACCGGGGTTCAGCCTGGGCTGGGGCTCTGGGTCCTGGGTTCAGGATGGGCCATACTATGACTCGGTCTGGCTCAGGGAGGGTGGGCCAGGCCGGGGGCATCCCTTACCGTGGCACTGGTTTTTCACCCCCACCTCCAAGGTGTCTGTGTAGCTGGATATGGACAGTCTGGTGGGAACGAGATCCTGCAGCTGCTCCCACCGCCAACGCTGCAGGTGAAGGAGACCCAGGTGGGTGTTGCAGCCAAGGTGGCACCAGGTCACTCTGTCCTCCTTGGCCCAGTGTCTTCAGAGACCAGGCTGTGCTGGGCTGCACAAGCTGTTACCTGGCCTCTGTTGATCTGACAACACTTGGCCAGGGCTTGAGCAACTTTTGTTGAAAGGTAAAGCATGTAGGTCAGTTGAGGTAGTGCAGGTTGGCACGTCAGTCCCAGAACCACAGGCTGGTGGGGGCTGGAAGGGACCTCTGGAGATCATCTAGTCCAACCCCCTGCCAGAGCAGGATCACCCAGATGGCGTCCAGGCGGTTTTGGAATCTCTCCAGAGAAGGAGCCTCCACAACCTCTCTGGGCAGCCTGTCCCAGGGCTCGGTCACCCGCAGAGGGAAGAAGTTTTTCCTCATGCTCAGGTGGAACTTCCTGTGGTCCAGTTTGTGCCCGTTGCCCCTTGTCCTGTCGCTGGGCACCACTGAGAAGAGTCTGGCCCTTCCTCTTGACACCCACCCTTTAGATATTGAGAAGTGTTGATCAGATCCCCTCTCAGGCTTCTCTTCCCCAGGCTAAACAGCCCCAGCTCTCTCAGCCTTTCCTCACACCAGAGATGCTCCAGGCCCCTCATCCTCCTCGCAGCCCTCCCCTGGACTCTCCCCAGTAGTTCCCTGTCTGTCTGGAACTGGGGAGCCCAGACCTGGACACAGAACTCCAGCTGTGGCCTCACCAGGGCAGAGCAGAGCAGAGGGGGAGGAGAACCTCCCTCGACCTGCTGGCCACGATCTTCTCCCTGCACCCCAGGACACCACTGGCCTTCTTGGCACTGCTGGCTCAGTCATTTAATCCTGCTGCTCTGCAGGCAGCTTGTGCCATGAAGACTTCGTCTCTGGATGTGTGAATGAAAGCGTTTTGTGGGGAAATAGGACAAATGAGGAGGGGACTTGCTGAGATGCCCAAGCCTGGGACACACCACACTGCTAACAGTGGTCGCCCTTGGGGGGGTGAGCTCTGCGCTAAAGTAGAAGGTGGTGTTTTGTCACTGGGTGAGCAGAAAGCTCCTGAGCCAGATGTGCATGGATGGTAACAAACCTGGTCAGAGCTCTTGGCAGGAGCTTTCTCCATATGTTTGTTTCCTCTATTTTGGAATGCTTCGATCCTGTAGCTCCTGTTGAAGTAGGCGTTACTGGACAGGCAAGAGCTTTACCAAGTGAGCATGTGTCTCATCTCTCTGTCTTTTTTTTTTGTCATAACTGACCACAACAAGTTCTGCACCATTATGTGTGAGGAAATGACCTTGCCTCTGATTTCTAGGGCTTGTGTCCAGAGAGAGATTTCAAGGTGGAATGTGGTGGATTTTCAAACCGCCCAGTGTACAGCCTGAAACATGTGCCAGACACCAGGTATGGCCACAAGATCCTTCCAAGGCATATTGGAGATGGAGAGGGGGCTTGTTCACTGAGAGCGAGCTCCTTTTCCTTGCCCACTTCCCAACCCAGCTGGTCAATCCTGCCAGCTCTGAGAGCAGCGTGAGTCTGGAGGTGCTCAGCAGGCAGAGCAGAGTACTAGTGGCTGGGGGCCCCCGCCGGGCAC